GGGCCCTCAATAATGGCTATAAAATAATTAGAATTTGGGAGGGCCGTTTAGAGAATTTCATGGCCGTCCCTAAAAATAATGTTACGTTAGAACCCTTAGGCGCGACTTAACTAAATTACTTTCTTAAACTCGGGTACGCATTGATGCGACCCAAATCCAAATCTCGACGAAGTCGAAATGTGTCGACAACCACGGGTGCATTGATTGCAACGTGGTTCGAAATGCGTTTTCACGACGTCGCAATTCTTTTAAAATAAATAATGATAAAAAGCGGTTTTCGAATAAATGGCACATAAGCTAGCATGTGTTAAAATCAGATAAAATCAAATGCAGCAGTTAAGCGACCGTGCTAGAACCACGGAACCCGGGAGTGCCTAACACCTTCTTCCGGGTTAACAGAATTCCTTACTCGGATTTCTGGTTCGCAGACTGTAACAGAGTCATATTTTTCCTCGGTTCGGGATTCAACCGGTGACTTGGGACACCATTAATCTCCCAAGTGGCGACTCTGAATAATTAATAATTAAATCCTGTTCTGATTGTCCTTTAAATGGAAAAACTCCTTTGCGCCCTTACCGGTGTAGGTAAAAAGGAGGTGTGACACCACTTATTGATAGTGGTGGCAAAATGGTTCAAAGAAAACAGTTAGCCACCCATATTATCCCCAAAAAAATGGATTGGATAATGAACTTTTTAAAAACGGGTAAAATATGGATAAGAACCATATTATCCATTTAGAAAATGGATAATAAATGGGTAACCAATGGATAACCAATGTGTCTAACTTTTACATTTGTAAAGCCTCAAATTAGGGGTTCCTCAAATTAGGGGTTCCTCAAGTTAGAGACACTAAGAATTCTGCCAAATGTGATTATATGCAATAAGTCATGGATAATATGGTTACTCTTATTATCCATCGATTATCCCGTTTTTTATCCGTATTAAATATGAGTCTAATCGAATAATTTATTCGTTTTTTATTACCCACTTTCAATCCAAATCATATCCGATCCGACCCACCCGTTTGTCACTCCTACTTATTGATATGAAATTCGGAGACAAGTAATGCAGAATGGTCATAATAAAGTTCATAAGTCATTTTAAAAAGTACTTGAAGGAGAGAAGATTTCGTGAGACTCTACTCGACAAATAAACCAATTATTGTCGTGGGTCGTTTGTGACATGGATTTGTAAAGCAAGGAGTATATACAACTGTGGGCCAGAAAAGGATAAAAGGGACTAAGCACCTAGTTTTCCAATTCCCGGGGATACCACAATTACTTTACTGGCTTTATCCAAATCCTTAATCTAAAAGCACACAGATATTTTTGAATCTAACAGCTAAAAACTATAACGCATATGGAAATTAAATATGTGGGCGGCCTACACTTCGTATCCTGTCGTTGCGGTTTCACCCTTTATATAAACAAAGACTTCAAATCATAACAAAAGCATCTACAAAAATATTACTACTACCTTTTTTTTCTCCTCTGTTGTGAAATTGAAAAAGTGATAGATATTTGAACAAGAAGAATGTCTGGGCTAATTGATATGTGGTCAAATGAGGTAGCCAAGTTGCGAAACAAGACAGGTCAAGATCAAACTGGATCAATAGCTGCTGAACCCATTTTCTCAAACGCAACTAATTATAATGAAATGGTTCGTGGAAATCATGAATCTCTCTCCTTATTTCAAAGATATGGGTTGGCATCCAACTTGGGTAAACTCAATAAGTTGGTGAATTACTCTGAGGCTTCAGTCTCTATGATTGTGGATTGTGTTAGTCCCTGAGCAAAGCAATTAAGCATATATATCTTTCTGTTTTTCTTGAGTTGAGGAAACTGTACTATTACTACTTCCTTTACTCATATTCCAACCTTTTATGTTATGGTGGGTATAAGTTAGGTTCTTGAATAACTTGTGTACATATACTTACAGTTAATCGAAATCCTTCAATGCAATTTCTTTCGATTTTTTTTTTAATTTAAAATACTAGTTTTTCTTTCTTTCAAAACATCAGCGCGTGGTATACAAGTTTAGATCTAACGACTGGTCTAGTAACCTTTCGGATTGGGGATCCACGTTGGCAACAACCACACCCCCACAATATTTCAGTTTATGCTCATATCGTCACCTTAGTAGGGTTTAATCACCAAATCAGAATGAATTAATATGATTCCTTTACACTTAGGACATCAAAATACCAAACCATGAACGAAGAAAGTTACGAGAAGAAAGCATATTGACGTAAAAAGGTGATATAATTTTTGCGATAGAATTAAAAGGTAAAGTATGTTAAATAATTTAACCAGCGAGTATAAAAGCTAGTTACAGTCGAAAATAGTCTGCCTTTAAAATAATAATCGAAAATATGTATTTTTATATAGTTTTTGTATATGTATCCACTTTGTATGTTATAAAAAAAATTATATAAATTTTATACACTTTTTTGGCTATCGAATATAAATAGTTTGTGGTGCGGACTGAGTCGGGTTTAAACAGCCCAGTCCAAATATGTGACCAGCTCACCCAGCTTTAATTAATCACGAACTCATCAAAGCTAGGGTTTAAGCTCGTTTCATCTCTCCCTCAGAAGAGAAATCTTGCAAACGACGAAACCATGTTTCCAGGATTGTTCATGCGTAAACCTGACAAAGCAGCTGCTCTCAAGCAGCTCAAGACTCACGTCGCCCTTTTCGGAGCTTGGGTCGCCGTAATTCGGGTCACCCCATACATCCTTCACTATTTTTCGGATCAGAAAGAAGAACTCCTCCTCGAACTCTAAATCCCTATTCTTTTTTGAACTTCTTTCTACTCAGGTAAAATTTTCTCTTCTAATAGAAATTATATACTCAATTAGGCTCAATATTATTAAGTGATCATGTCCGAATTGGAAGATTAGATACATTCACTCAGATATTCTGCCTTGACTTTGGATTAGAAGGATTATAGACTTAGTCCCGGTTATTCAGTTCACTATCTGTAGTTCTATGGAGACTTGTGATTTTTTTGTTGGGTCAGCTTGATAATCTGGTTAATTGCTTATGTTCATGTATAAAACTCAAGTGGATTAGGGCGCATCTATCTTTTCCACTTAAATACCAGACTTAGTTTGGTCGCATGATTCGAACTCGTGAAATGCGCCTCCAACACATTCACTGGTGTATTAACTTTGCCCGTTGAACCAAAGGCCTGGGACGCTTCCTAGATTAACATCTTTTGCTAGTGTTATCGTTGTCCTTCATTCTTTTGATTTTCCATACTGTATTTGTTGTGTCTCAATAAGAGTGGCTTATCCTGGGGTTTTTCTCTTCATGTCACCATGTGTCAGCATATCTTTTGGGGGCTGTAAGGCCGTTTGAATCATCTTCTGCACTAGAGTGTTCCAAGGTTGTGAATTTCAGCTGAATAAGAAGTAGTTGGTTGGTAAGAGTGCTTGAGCTTTAGCAACAATGAGTTGGTTCATGGATGGATGGACATTTATGCTCCTTTCAAATTTCAAGAACCTCCTAATGTGATATTAAAATCTAAGCCACTAAGGTAACTCGTAAGTGCAAAATCTAGTTTCATGAGCTTGCTGAATCAATATGAAGAATGATATAGTTTTCATTGAAAGATAACTTGGAGGCTCGTTCGATGTTGTGTTTAGTTATATTGTTAATGTGATTGAGCAATAATGGAATAGAATTGCTTTATCATCCTAGTAAATCTTTTGTGGGTTGACAATCTTGCCTCTAATGTTATTCATATATCAAAATTTGAAATTAAGAAACACATGACTGAACCAAGGTCGTGGCGTTTCTTGTGTTTTTGGTGTTGTATGTAACTTAGGTTCTGGTGCATAAAGTAGTTGGATTGAGTTGTGTAAGTTGCCGAGCACCAATTATGAAATGATCTATGATTTGGAGTACTCTGGTTGAGGGTTAAGGAATAAACTTCTACCGGAAATTCCTATGTGTTTATTTTTTATGAGCTTTATATCTACTAGAATATGAAAGTAATCTTAAGCTCTTTACTAATAAATGCAAGAAGAAGCTTGTATGGCGATGGTCCCTATCGCCTGTGCATGAGTTTGGATTTCATGGTTCTATTTGGTAGGTGATTAGAAGTTTGAAAATATGAATTTTACAATGCAAGTGGATCGAGTTGATTCTGTAGATGCAAAGTAAAGTACTAGGAATTGAATGATTATATGTGTGTGAGTACGGCAAAGTTGATGAAGTAACATGTTTCATCATCTTTTCTTGAATCTTGTGAATATTACTGTTGTTCCAGGACTTTGTTCAACAGCAAAGGATGTGTGGCAGGCGCACATCATGAGTTCGAATCTTGGGCGGTGAACCAAGTCCGGTATCTAAATGGAGAAGAGTAGAGGGGCCCCTAGCCCATTATCTACCAAGTGTCGAACCGTGGCACCAATGGCCCTTAATTTAGTATGGCTTTCGTGCAGTTCCTTAATCTTGATATGTTTAAGTTGCTTACTCCTAGTATATCAGTTGCTTATAATTTCAGTTTGGACTAGAATTCATGCATGTGCTCACATAGGTAATTATGGATTGGGATTGCTGTGTTGTTGCTCGAGTACAATTTCTGATGCAATTCCATTTTAGGCCCTTTCAAAGTTGTACCATTCTTCAGTTAATTGCCTGATTTAAATACAACTTAAGGTCTGTCTTTCTTTATATACAAGTCTCTGATAATGTCCTTATCTTCTTGTCTTTCCCTTCTGCAGTTTCTCTAGAGGAAGGAATGTTTGGAAGAAAAGGAGCTAGTGTTCTCTACACATCTGTTGACCCTCTTCTCAGTCATTTCTGTCTCTACTTTTCATTTTCATTTGACGATATGATTCCGAAATTTGTTAGGTTGGCATATAATTGGGAATTGTATGGTTGTACCCTAGTTATTTGAGATAAAATTTGCTGCGGAAACTCTCTTTTGGTTTATCGACACCAAAGTCATGTGTGAATTTGATGGCTTTCCCACCTAGATTAGATACCCATCTTCCCCAGTAATCTTTGCACTATGTTAATGCATAAATGATCCCATAAGTGAGATTTAGCGTGGCTCGATATGTATAATATATGCATTTTATATATATATATATAATATTTATATCTACAAATATATATATATAGTTTATATGTATTAGATAGTATATCAAATTTAAATACAAAATAAATTGCAAAGAAATATTCAAGGAAATGTCTTATAATTTATATTATTACGACATTAACAAAAAATGACAATATCTTTCTTAGTCTTCCTCTCTCCAGTGGAATGAGCACAACAAGGTACTAATACCACCATTAAAAGGAAAAAAAAAACTAAGGAAGATGTGTCAAAATACAAGTTACATATTAGTCTATGTATTATCTCTAACAAATTTCATAAATCCTTCAAGGTCCGGAGGAATTTTTGTTGGTGGTGGCGGAAAAGAAGCTTGTTCATCATCGCTTCCGGGCGAAGTAGCATCCTGCGCAAGTTTCGCTAGCATTTCTTCATAAGCTTCGTCTATCTCCGGTTTTGATTCTGCAAGTCTAAAATTTCTTCTTTCCGAACGGATCCAATCTTTGAAGAGTACTGATTTTCTAAGCTCTCCCTCATAGACGCTCTATGATCACCGATTTGAAGTCTTGCTTGACTGAAAGCGCTCTCCGATGCCACTGTTGAAGCTTGAACACTTAAAATATCTCGAGTCATCCTTGAAAGAACCGGATAGTGTTTTTGTTTGTCCTTCCACCATTCCAAAACATCAAAGGAGCCGTCGGAATTCTCTGATTTAAGTCCCTGCGACAAATAAACTTGAAGCTCATTTAGTTGTGAACTATCACCAATATTATCACCTTGAGAACCCTGAACTCCATCCAAGCACTAAGGGCTTTTAGGCCCGCAGTTCTTTTAGATGATTGCGAACTAGACGAAGTAGGAGTTGGAACATTTGGTCTAGCATAATCTAAGGCAAGTTGATAAGCATTATAAATTGTTTAGCATTTATTTTAATTGAGGCTTTTGCATCTCAAGTGTAGCAAATTCCTCATCTGAAAGTGATAAAGCGTTACAATTTTTTGTGTACCAAAAGTGAGTACCTCCTAATTTCATTGTAGGATTTAACATGGCAGCAACACCAAAAATAGGGGGGATAGGGAAAAAATATTTTTTAAACTTATCTTTCATAGAATTAATAGCAAGTTGATAAATTACCCCACCCTCTGAAAATTGAGTAAACAAATCTGTAAGTGCTGCAATATAAACTAAACAATTAAAAATAGTAGGATAATATTGCCTAGATAATTCATTTGTAGCAACATGAAATTGTTCTAAAAAGTCTACAAGCATTTTAACATTAGTCCAATCCTGATTTATAAGGTGTTCATCATCATCACCACCAACACGAGCATTATACGTTGTGTTTATTGGGTTTCTATATTCATATGCAACAACTAAACTTTCATACATGTAATTCCATCTAGTCGGACAAGGTTTAGGAACTTTTCTTTCTCTAAGGCTAAATTCATCACATTTTTTAAAATATTCTCTAAGTCTACTTCTACGGTTTAAATAAAACAGTCAATTAAGAGCCATTTTAGCCTTTTCAATTTCCACATTTAAAACTTTCATACCATCACCGACGATTAAATGGTAAATATGACAAATACATCTAACATGAAAAATATTACTAAATGCAGGATTTAGTGTAGTTCTAAGCAAGCCTATAGCATTAGTGTTACTATAAGTATTATCCATTGAAACTGACATTATTTTATCTTTAATACAAAAATATCTACAAATATTTGCAACTGTGTTAGCAATAAACTTACCTGTGTTGCGTGAATTAATTATTCTATAAGCAATAATGCGCTTTTGCATTATCCAGTCCTCATCAATCCAATGACTTGTAACAGTTAGATAATCACAGTCATTACCACTTTTATAACTATCAGCAGTAATAGCAATGCGACAATCTATATAAGTAAATAAATAGCGCAAATATTGTTCATTATGTTTATATTTATAAATATCGCTCTTTACGGTTGTGCGAGGTCATACTTTATAAGTAGGATTAAAAACTCTTCTAATATAATGCACAAAGTGAGGGTTAGAAGGAAAACTATAGGGTAAGCACATAGCAATAACCATTTTTGCCAATTCTTCACGATCTTTATTTGGATCATAATATAAAATGTCACCGGTAATAGTGTTAATTCCCGACTGTAAAATAGGGTTAACCTCAGTATCTAAACTTCTACCCTCTTGCGCAACTTTCATTTGTAAATATCTAGCTTTATCTCTAGGGTGTTTCTTTATGTGTCTAGTCAAAGTACTCGTACCGCTACGCTCTCCAATATATTTATGAGCCATCAAAGACCCACAAATTTTACACTTAGCCTTATTTTGTTCTCTTAGTTGAGTAAAAAAGTGCCAAATAAGAGATGTTTCGGTCCGTTTAGAAGGTTGTCTATTAAAAGTAGGGGTTACTACAGGAAGGTCAGGCGGAGCATCATTTGGATTATTATCAGTTGGGTTATTAACAGGACTAGTAGGTGTATCATCTAAATCCAATTGCATTTCATCTAAATCATCATTTTCAAAGATAGTTTGATTAGGATAAAGAGCATTCATAACTTCATCATTTAATTGTTGACCTGGTGCAACATCATGACAAAATTGACTATCGAAAAATTAAAAACAAGGGTTATCACTATCAAGAATAACAAGTGGAGGAGGACGGGTAACAGGTCTGGGTCGGGGAGCCGCGGGAAGAGTAGTAGCTTGGCGACTAGATTCACCAATTTTAAATTTTTCCTTACCCTTACCACCAAATATTTTTTTTTCAAAGAAAAGTCCATATTAATTATAATTAGACTAGCTAAAACAAACAAAACTATAATATTAAAACTTAAGAGTTGGAACGAGTTTACCGAATTGACGAACAACTTCTTGAAAATTGAATATCTTTGAAGACTTGAAGACTTCAATTCACCAACTAAACAATTTTTCACAAAATTGCAATAATAAAGTAAACAATTATAGAAGAAAATTAGAGAGAGATTGATGAATTTGTGAGTAAAAATGAAAGAATGAGGTGGTTTTTATAGTTGAGAATAGAGAAAAAGTGTAATTATAAAAAGTTTGGGGTTAAAACAAAGTTTGGGGGCCAAATGGCTATTTTTTAAAAAGCCAAACTGCTAAAATTGCAGGCCAACGGCAAGTTTTTAAATTTCAGACCGTTGGCCTTTATTTTATTTTTTTTGAAAAATAGCTCTGTTGGGTCCTCTTGGCCCGTTAGGCCCGGTTGAACCGACCCAGGCTCGCCTGCCGGTCCCCGGCTAAACGGTCCCGGGCTCGCGGTCTATTTGATGAGGACCGGCCCGTTTGGCCCGTTTGCTAGCGGTCCCAGCCCGGCCCACAATACACCCTTATCGTATGGTCTTTTGACTTGTCAAAACCACCCAATAGAAAAGAAAGAATGAAGCAGATAAACAAGTACTCAATACCATACCATCAACACTGAAAACTCAGTTATAGAAATGTTGCATCAAAAAGTTAATCTCTCAGTTTAGTTCAGAAGCATGCCCCCTTAACTAATTACATTAAGCAAAATCAGAGATGATATATGCCAAGGAAAGCACCAACTGCTGATGCAATTTATCTATACAAAGCCAATGTTCATGAGTAGGTTGAGAGTGATAATAGAAAGATTACACAATGTCTGAATTAGTTAGAGTTCCATACTGTGAGTGATGCATTGCATTTTACACAATCTCATTTTGGCTGCCGGGCAGCTACTTCATAACATTCAGGGGTTTGGTTTGGTCATCTCCTCAGCCTCTCTGTCTTCTTAAAGGCAGGGGTAAGGTCTGCGTACACTCTAACCTCCCCAGACCCCACTTGTGGGACTACACACTTGGTATGTTGTTGTTGGTTTGTTCATCTCCTGTTTTATACTGTCTGGATCTGGCACCCCGTTTGTCAGCCAGCTCAATCTTTTAGAAGATTGGATGTGCCGAGGATACACATCAAGTCATTTTTGAATAACTGGGAAGACTATAAAAAGTTGATCATCAACCAGCAAAAACAGCAGATAATGAACCAATTCATCACTTAGAGCCAACAGAACATTATGTCCTTCAAAGTTATGCAGTAGTTAACAGATATATGCAGGATTGGCCTTCTTATCATGGAATCTCCATGGCTTTATGACATTCTAATCTTCGGTTACTTTTGTGTCAAGCAGCTGGAAGTCTTCTCCAACTTTCACAGCATAATAGCTTCAGGAAACAGCTGTAAATTTTTCGAAAAGCCATCTTTGTGGTATTGTCAGTTTGTAAAGAAATAACATAAAAGATATTGGAAGAGCATTCATTTTCTGTATGGAGCAGTAATAGTAAAATCAGTTGTTACTCGGATATAGCAGAATTTGACATTTCAAAAGTAAAAATCATCCTAGAAAAACATCTAATGCAACAACATTGACTTGTGAGCCAAACGAATTTGTTACATGTCTTGACATACCCTTAGGGTGACAAAATTAGCCCATGAAAACATGACCTGCCCAACCCGTCTATTGTTCCCAATCTTAAAATGTAGGAACACTTACTTTTGCAGCCCTCCGTTCTTAAACTCAAACCTCAGAGACTCATGCTTAGGCAAACTTAATCAGCTATTTAACTATGATAATGGTATTAAAGTATCTAAGCAGGTTATTCAGCTCTGTGAGAAAAGCAGGCTATCCTCTAGGCATTCCACAAATAGGAATAGGACAATAGGTAATAAAGCCTCAATTGTAATTTGAGTGGTGAAACATAAAGCGCACTGTGGGAAACATAAAGCACATTGTGGGATGTAACTTTTATCTCCGACTAGGAAAGCGATGAAAGAACATTTATGCTGGTACACTGCAGGAAAGAGTCTAGGATGAATCATCTTAAGATCCTGACCTGTAGCGAGAACTCTTCAAGCAGTTAGAAAAAACAACAACAACAACAACAACAACAACAAACCCAGTGTAATCTCATATATGGGGTCTGGGGAAGGTAGTGTATATGCAGACCTTACCCCTACTTATAAAGGTAGAGAGGCTGTTTTCGATAGACTCTTGAAGCAGTTAGTTAGTGTTCATATTCTTCAGCAAGAATGCACTGCTCATGTTCGAAAAATCATGAAGATGCCCTTCAGAGAGTACCGTGCTTTGATGTACAGATAGACTTGCACCTCGACAAAGTCACCTTGTCTGTTCTTAACTCATAGCCTGAAGTCAAACTTAAGATTTGGTTAAAACTCTGGATGCTATACGAACTTCTAGCTATCTTTACAAGGGATCTTATTCGTAAGCATTTCATTCCTCAAACTTTCAGCCATTTTATCATCCCCTTGCTTGATGTACCCGTCAATGAAAGCACTATATATTTCCAAATTTGGTGCAAATCCTTTCCCCACCATCTCCACCTGAAGTTTCCGAGCTTCTTCCATCCACCCCTCCTCACACAAGCTCCGTATCAGAAGTTCGTATGTTGTCTTCCTTGGTACGATATCATGTTTCTTTATTACACCTCTCACAAATTCCAAGGCTTCAAGAACTCCACTTTTGTCACAGAGCACCTGAGCAATTGCATCTATCATTGAACTTTCTGGCTTGAATCCCTTTCGACACATATCCTTATACAAGACCAGAGCTGCTTCAGCATTCCCGCTCATACAATGTCCATTTGTGAGATGCTCAAGTGTAACACAAGTACACTCCACCCCATTGAAAACCATCTCCGTGTACATCTCCTCAGCTCTCTCAACCTCCCCAACTTTACAAAACCCCCCAATTATGGTATTATAAGCTACAATATCATGTTTCACGCCCTTATCACCCATCTCCTCCCAAACTTTCATGGCATTTTCAATCCTTCCATCCTCACAATACGCAGCCATTAAAACGCTATAACTATATGTATTAGGGGCGCAATTTTTTTCCATCATTTCCTTCCAAACCTCCTCAACCTTCTCCACAACTCCTTCTCTATGAAAAGCAACCATAAGAATGTTAAACGTATAAGCATTCGCGATCACACCCTTCACCACTCTACCTTTAAAGATTTCCCGATACATATCATAAGCACCAAAAGGGCCTCGACTTTTCGCAATCAACTCAATCAAAGAATTGCATATAACAACATGTGGAAAGATATTCTTTTTAGCTAAAATCCTCACAAGTTGAACAGAAAGATCAATTTTTTTAGAATCTAAATAAGCTTTAATCAACAAATCAAACACAAAGGGAGCTGAATCACAAGTCCTGTAAGTTTTAACCAAGATTTGGAAAATCCTTGGTGGGTTTGTTAAATCAGGTTGATGGATTTCAGGGAATTTACGAATGGCGGATTTTAGTAGCTCTAAAGCTTGGGATTTAAGGCGGGATCGGGAGAGGATGTGAATGATAGTGGCGTAGGAAGAAAGAGAGTGAGAGCAAATGGAGCGAGTGATTGTGAAATGAAAGAAACGGAGGGCAAGATGAGGTGTGTTGCGGAGTTGAAGAATGATTTGAGAGACTTGGGTGGGAGTGAAGCCGGAAGGGGGTGGGGATAGGGAAAGAATTTCAGACCATCTTGATTTTGAGCGATGGTGTTTGAGGATTGTTATGGCTGTTGAGACTAGAGTTTCATCTTCGTTTGAAGACGATTGAGTTGGAGAAGAGGAAGTAGGAGAAGAGAAGGAAGAGGAAGATGCGTGTTTGGTTAATGGGGTTGAGAAAATAGTGCGTCTTGCAATAGTTGATAGCATCGCCATCGATGGCTATTTGCTGCTCCGTTCCGGCATTTTGTCGAACAGCTTCTGTTCCAAGTATAAGACATTTAACAATCTGTACCATGAAGTTTATTGACCAACTGTGCCAAGAAGTTATGCTGGAAAAACCTTTTTTTAAAAACGGAAAAAGGTAAAAAAAATGCCCCTTTGCTATGCAAAAAGGTTATATATGTCTTCCGCTATACTTTTGTTCTATTAGTACCTCGACGTTATAAATTTGGTGCAAAAATACCCTTTGTCCGTTAAGTACTCTATTGTAACCAATGTATTAGTCAAAATCTAATCGTCACGACCGAACTGACCAATGTCCCGCCAAAGTGACCGGGCAGTGAAAGATAACATAGCCCACTCTATATACCTTTCCCGACATCCGTCGAGTCGGAAAGAGCAGCGCCTAAAAGGACGACCATGACACATTGGAGGAGAGAGAGCGTCGGACCAAGTAAAGGGCAAGGGTGTCTTGACTATATATAGTAAGGGAAAACCTTCGATTAAAGGGGGTTTTGTTCCCCCCCCCCCCCCC